TCTGTCTGTCTGTCAGTGTCTATCTGTCACACATAAACACACACAAACACACACACACACACACACACACACACACACACACACACACAAACACACACACACACGCGTACGCGCTCACACGCAACCCTACAGTGAAAAAGTACGCATCCAATTTCTGCGTACGTTTGTTAACTTCATACACTCGTGTGTATTTTTTTGTTGTCTTTTAGGGTGGAGGAGGGGGGTGTTAATTCCTTTTTTTTAAAAAGGGGAGTAGGGTTAAAATACAAAAAAAATAACGGTCATTTGGAGTCGGCACAAAGCAAAAGACATACAGAAACAAAAGATGGGAAGAAAAGCATCAGGCGACTACAGTAACTTAGAGTAAGTAATACAGGTCAGTAATTGGAAAGAGTCAATAAACTCACGGAGCTTCACAGCCTGTCAAACTGGAGTTTGATAAGGAAATGTTAACGCACTTGATCAAATAAACAAATAAAAACAAGGAAAACGAGACTCATTCATCATTCAATGAATACGAACTTACATGGGTGGATGCGGGTTTTTCTGTACATGAGCTTATGCAAGCTTAATGACTGCCAGGTTAAAAAGTAAATTGTCTAGATCTAGTACAGGATTTTCTCTTGGTACTGTTGATTCATTCGTAAGAACCAAACAAAAGCATACAGTTATATATTCAAAAGACAATGGTTATCAAGTGACGGCAAGCTGACAGAAAAAAGAACAGAGTGGAGGTAAGAAAGTAAAGGTGAACTATTTACCCCCGCTCAGAATTTGTCTTCATGCACATCAACAAACACGGCCAGCTGTTTCCTGTTCATGTGAAGACAGCACCAACCCCACTGTGACCCCCACCACGACCCTATACGTGCGTGCCAAGGTGCAGAGTCGATATTAAGTTCCGAATGGGCGGTCCAAGTTTACTTTTATCGAAAGCAGAGCCTCAAATTGACACCCTCCAACTCCCCGACCACCTACACAACAGGACAATCATAAAGCCCCGCCTGACAATACGTGATTGTACACACATGAAATATTACGAGGCTAACCAGCGACCAGTCGGGGTCAAACGTGTTGCGTAATAACCTACAACACTGGACATGCCGACGGGAGGGACGGAGAGAGAGAGAGAGAGAGAGA